AAAAACACTTTTATGGAATTACTTTTATAAAAACATTTTTATAAAACACTTTTACGAAAGCATTTTTACAAAAGCACTTCTACGAAAAAGTACTTTTATAAAAGTATATTTAGAATACTTTAATAAAAGCACTTATATGAAAGCGCTTTTACAGAAGTGCTTTTTCAATGCCAAAAGAGTATATTTTTGTAATTTTCAGATTTTCTTCATTTTAATATATTTTTGTAATTTTTTTATATATTCTGTTTTTTATATAATATTTGATATTTCATTCAGTATAGATTGGATCCAATTCAGTCCATTTACATTTTAATGGATTAGATTAGATTTGGACTGTAATTGATCCAGTCCATTTATAAATAGACTTACATTGGACTGAATCGGATTGGACAAAATCTAGTCCAATTGACACCTCTAACATGCGGCCCCTTATGTATGGAACACTAATTCACTCTTAATTGATCACGTAATCAGGTTCACCCACTGGTATTTTGCAGAAGATCACATGTGCAATGGGTCTCATAACGGGTGTTGTGGAAGTGTAAGAAAAAGTAAATGAGATAACAACTCCATTTGGGAGTCCACTTGAAGTGGAACAATAGTCCCATCAGTCACAAAGAAAACAACGTGTTTAATATGATCCAAAGCTAGTTTTAAATAAAAAAAAAAGTTAAATAAGTGGCCATGCAAGATCTCATCTTTTATTGATCGTAACGAATACTTTGGACCAAATCTTGCCTTCATCTAAATTAGGGGTTATAGGTTTGGAGATGGACTGACTACCTCCATTATATAGCCGTGGAAGAAGAAGAAAAAAAAGAAAGAAAGAAAAATCGTAGACAGATTTTTTTTTTTAATTCAAAATTGTTTTTGAACCCCCCCAAAACTTGGCAAAATTCATCCTTCAGCCTTCACTCTCGATTATAAAACCCATTCAACCCACTCCTTTGTTTTATAGGTCGTATACAACAAATTTGCAACACCATATCTGTTCAGATCGGTCGCCTATAACGTATGTTTTGGGTAGGAACATATGATGCATTACACTAATCTAGGCTGTCCAAAATCGAAATAACAACACAGGTAGGTCCCATTTGTACAATAGGAACTTAGTATGTCTCGATTTATTGTGTTTCGAGGGGTCATAAAATTGAAGAGAAAAACAAACATGAATAAGTGATAAAATGATGATACATCTCAGTTAGACCTGTTCACATTTCATAGGCTTGGCATCAGGCTCGGCCCAAGAACATTGTTCTGGGTTCAGGCTTGACACCAGGCCCATTCAAATTTTGGTAAAATCTCAACTGAAGCCCAGCTCAAGAGTTCTAATCACAGGTTACAGGTGAGTTGACATCTTTGACACTCTTAAAATCTTGATGGTAAAACACTTCGTAAAATGTCAACCAATAAGAATAATTAAGGGTTTTAAATTGACTGAAGTATAAATTTCTTTAAAATAAGTAGATAAATGATGTCTTTTGGTTGAAATCTTGATTTAGCGTGTCAGAATATTATTTGTGGGAATTTAAATAATAGAGTGTGAGATTTTAATAACAGAGAGCATGGTTTTCAAAACCGGATCGAGAATCTGTCAGTTGATTGTTTCCGTTTTTCCTCAAAACCGGGATTTCTTAAAAAACTGTTGATTTTGATCAGTAAACCGTTGACCCGGGCGGCTAACTGTTTGAACCGTTCGAAGGTTTTGACTGTTTTTTATTTTTTAAAATTTTTTTATTTTTTTGTCAGAACGGGGCCGACTGTTCAATTCGAACAGTCAGACCATTCGACCCGGTAACCGAACTCCTGACCGGTTCAATCTCTGAATTGGTTTTAAAAACCATGATAGAGAGGGTGGCTGGCCCATTTGAGAGAGCGGAAGTGTACAGGCTTCTAACTTTCCAAGGTGGGCCTCACATAGATAACCTATAAGGTATATTGAGAGACCAAATCGATTGTTTTCAACTGATATAAGTCTAACACAACTTTATGGGGACGTTTAGGGCTGGTGCATTTCATGATCATTCCGTTTCACAAGTGGGCTCCAATTCACAAGTGATTCGTTTCATCTGTTATTTATTTATTTTTATTTTTTTTTGAGAAATACAAAAAAAATGAGATACAAGCTGAATTTACATTTAAAGTGATTTGGCTTAATATTATTATAATATAAGGACAATTGTGTGACATCTCAAAAATTAGTCACCTATATGGGCTTCATAGACAAAATCAGGGATTTTAGCCTTACCATAAGCAAATTCAACTTTATGATTTTGAATAGAATTCATGGACCAAGCTATAAAAATAAGGAAATTTGTGTGTTGGAATTCAGCTCTAGATAATAAGTGAAGTTCACGATGAACTTATGAAGACTAATTAAAAGGTGTGTTTGATTATGAAACCTATATTGAAAATGACCATCAGTACTCATAAGAGCAGGTAACCAAACAGGGTAGAAACTTTCATAAGTAAGGTGTGGGCAAGCAATCTTGTGCCAATAAAAAATTGGAACTGTGTGGATATTTGCAGGCCAAATATTGTTAATCCTTCTCTTTTGAGATAGAAAATTCAGCCTTATTTTCTACCTGAACTCAGTTGACCAGGTAGTTTTTTTGCTAATAAAAAAACCAAAATTCTGTGTGAATATTTACATACCAACATGTTAATCCCTCTCTTTTGACATACTTTCCAAGACAGCAAGGAAACATATATATCAACTAACAAAGACCAAAATGTTATTTCTTATCAAGAATATTATTTGTTAGTACTGTTTCTCTGAATATTTGATGAACTGATCAAGAAACCAGAAAAAAAAAAAAAAAAAAAAAAAAAAAACCGAATAAAAACCAAATAAATGTTACCATGGAGACAAATAGTCATAACTAATAAAAATGCCTTGATAAGTTGGCATTAAATCCTCTTACCTACATTAATCATAAAGATCTAATAGAACCAGAAATTTAATTTGGAATCCATCAAAAAGAATCATCTTTCAGCAAAAAAAAAGTCTAAGCAAGAGGCCAAAAAAGGTAAAATGAGATCAATTAACTAGGGGTGTCAATTGGACTGGATTTGGTCCAATCTGATTTAGTTCAATGTGAATTTATTATAAATGGACCAGGTCTAATTCAATCTAATGAATATTTTAGACTATTTTGGATTGGTCCAATTCAATGTCTGAACCATCTAATCTGTTTAAATTTGTTTTGATTTAGATTGGTTTCAACCCAAATCCAATTTATTGACACCTATATTCTTATCTTATATCAATAGACCAGATAATGACTTAATCCTACCCAATCCAATATAAATTCATTACAAATGGGCCGGGTCCAATCCAATATAATAAATATTTTGGACCGGATTGGTCCAATTCAATATATGCTATTGGTCCGTCCAACCATCCAATTGATTTTGGATTAAATGGGGTCCAATCCAAAACCGGTCCATTGACACCCTTATAATTAACTATCAAATTATATCATCTTATATAACAAATATAGATTGGCTAAATGCTTTGCAATTTTAAATGTTTCATGTGAGTGAAGAATCCTCACATTTGATTGTTAACACAAATAGACCTTAAATATGAAGGCCGTGATATGGTGAGAGTACTACTACAACTAAGGGGATGTTTGGAACCATGGCAGTTTTTCAAAAAAACGGTGCCACGTCAGATCCACATAAGCATTTCAACAAAAGTCCATGTATCTCATTGTTTGGTTCAGCATATTATTAAAAACTCGGGCATGCCTCAAAAATTGGGACCCTTGGCGTTTCATGCATATCGATGAACTGTTTCCCCAACGGTTGACTGATGTGTATCCTATGTGGTGCTTACCTGTCAGCATATACATGAAAAACGGTGATGAAAATCACCTTATCAAACAGCATAGTGAAAAACGGGTCTTAGAAATATAAGCATTTTTCTTAAAAATCAGTCTCAAAAAACGCCCACGCTTCTAAACACCATGAACAAATTGGCAAACTATGTTGGATTGATATCTGCTTGACTTTGCAAAAAGATTTGAAGCTGTTACCGGATTGGATTTTCTTGCAACTGTCTAATAAAACTCAAACACATGACACGGTGCAATGCATTGAAAAAGAGAGAATCACTTGTTTTTACTACCTGCAGAATTGATAGTAAATTTGCCTTAAAAAATCTAAACTTGATTTGAAAAAAAATATATATAAAATGTGCTTAGAACTTGTTAATCAAAATTGAAATAAATCTAAATCTATTAAACCAAAATCCTAATTGATTAACAACAAGAAAAATACTGAAGTAGTGAAAAGCTAATGAGGGATAATTTTTTCAGGGTGTAATGACTAAGAGGGGCATTAATGGAAATAAAAAACCAGGATCTTTCGACGAATATAATAGATAGATAGATAATAGAAAGGAACTTCATTTTTGCTCCCAGATGGTTTTATGTTTTACCGCAGGGTCAGAGAGTCAGACAAGACCCTTGACGCTGTGGCCCCACTTAACGTTACTTCAAGATGACGTAGCAAGGTGAGCCACGTCAATACACGGAAGACTTGGATTTGACGCGGCAATGTGATTCCCTTATATATAGATTCCGGAAATTTTCACCGAACATAAGGCTGTCGGTGCGTGGTCCACCTGGCAAAGCCAACGAACCAAAAACGGGGTTATGGGTCCTACATGTCACGTTGTGGGGTCAGAAACTGGGCTTGAATCATGAAATATGATACCAATCCAACGGTCGTTCACGGTAGATGGGATGAGTTCATATCATGTGGGAAACAGAGAGCAGATATATGTCAGACCGCAGTGCTCCACCCTTTACGGCGCTCTACCTTCAATTTCTTGGTTTCGTCCCTTAGTCCTATCACCTCACCTGAAGCTGAAAGCCAAAATCCAACCGACCAAACAAACCCACATTTTTTAGCTGACGCGTAAGATAGCACTGGCTTTTTCACGTTACGCGGACGCGGGCGCGGGCGCTAAAGCAGAAAGCCCAGAAAAGAAACCCCTGACCGGAAGTGAACGTGAACGACTGCCCAGTAACTTACTAACGTTGATCTCATCTGAGACGACACTGTCGTCGCACTCGCACAGTATCAAATGAAAGTAAAGGATCCGATTCTGTGGATCAGTCCCATCTCTTCTACGAGATAAAGACTCCTGGGTTCTCCCATCTCGGCCCCTCTCTGCTTGGCAAGTTCGTTCAACTAATTAGCTGCAAGTTAAAATGGATTCATTCATTCATTCAAGGGTCAGAAATGGGACACGGAATGATGAATTTCTCCTCACCCGTCAATTGGAGTTGGCGTTCCTTGAAAGCGATAGAGAACGAGCTCTCTTGGTTTCTTCTTTTATTAATCTCGACAATAAATACTGGAACGACCCAGCAAGAGTTCATTTGGAGCTGACGACTTGTGTGGGGTTATTTCCGGTTCCAGACAACCGGCGCAAACGCAAACTCACAGAGACAGAGGGAGAGAATGGCAGAAGCAGCAGTTTCATATTCACTAGAAGAAACACCGACGTGGGCGGTTGCAGTTGTTTGTTTTGTCTTAATTTCCATCTCTATTCTTATTGAACATGCTCTCCATCTCTTAACCAAGGTATATGCTTGATCTGTAGTTGAGCTCCATATATAGCTATTCATTTTAACTCATTTGTTCTTTTAGAGGACAATCAGAGTCATGCATAAAATTATGAGGATTCTTTGTATATACTGTGGTGGGCATGCTGTAATCTTTCTCCTACTGCCTTTTTCAGCTCCTTACAAGATACAGGCGGAAGTCTCTCAATCAGGCTCTCTACAAGATAAAATCAGGTACAAGATGATATACAGTAGACTACTGCGCTGCTTCCATAATTCATTGTTTTGCTTTCTGGGCTAGCTATCTGGTTCTTTAGCTTATACCGAATTAACTACTTTTTTTCTATTTACTAGTGAGAACATCTTATTCCTTCTTCTGCTTTTCTGGGTTGCAGAGTTGATGCTTTTGGGTTTTATATCTTTGTTAATGACCATTAGTGAGAAGCACATATCTAAGATTTGTATCCCCAAGGACATCGGAGACAATTTCCTTCCATGCAAGAGCACAGTAATATCGAGTGACATTGAGGAGGAATCCAGTTGTGAAGAGGAGGTATGAGATTAGCTGCAAAGCAAACAAACCAGTACTCACAAGTTGTTTATCCACAAAATCTGCTTCAATATTTGTCACTCCAGCTGCTATTTGGATTTCATTGCACATATACATGTGTTTTCTCAAAACCAAGTAAAAACATTTTGAATTCAGCCCAGAAAAATAACATTGTTTCTAAAACCCAAAAGAATAGATGTTTTCAAAAATGAAAACATATTTTGGCTTCCATAAGATAAAGACTGATATTTCTTTACATCCTCTATATATGCTAACCTACATTTGAATGGATTTGGTTTCTAGATATGAATAATAAATTAGAAAAAAAAAAAAAGAAATCCGAGCTAATATTCATTTAAACATGTTTTTGAAACCAGAAATTTAACACCGTTTTTTATTCCAGTTTTGGAAAAAAATACTCCATGCAGTTAAAAATCGTGTTTTTTCGTGTTTTTGCTTTAAGAATCAGAATGGAACCAAAAAATCACGTAGGAGAACATCCCCTAAATGGATGACTGATGAATTTTGAGTGTATAGATTGTCACTATGTGATGTTAATTTAACTAGAGTTGTGATAGATGCTTTCGGTTTGATTCATATGAGCAGGGAAAGGTTTCTCTTTTGTCCAGAAAAGGTGTCCAGCAGCTCCAGTACTTGATCTTTGTCTTGGCCTTCTTTCATGTTCTTTCCTGTGTTCTCACCTTTGGTCTTGGGGTGGCCAAGGTAGTTTACTTCTGATATATACACGATACATTATGGTGTATTAACTTTTATGCTTCTTTTTTTAAGTATTTTATTGCTTGTTCTCTGAATCATATTAGTCATCAACAAATTTGACCTTTCAAAATTAGAATTTGAAGGCTATGTGCCTAAGCAGTCTATCTAAAAATTGTATACAATCTTTTGTAGCCTGAAAAGAACCATTAAATTAAAGGAAGTTTCTACTTTCTATAAGTAGATTGATGATCTCAAAAATATTATATTTATTTTGACTAATGATCCTTCTGTTTTAATTCATCAGATGAAGAAATGGGAGTATTGGGAAGAAGAAACAAGAACTCTAGAATATAAGTTCACCAATGGTATGCTTTTGGGCTGAGATTTTTCACTTGTTTTCTATTTTCTTCCTCCTTTGGTGGGTCCTTCGGGTGGCAATTCTTTACTCAGACTATTTTCTACAATCTAACCCCTTTTCCAGGAACAAAGAAATATATATCTGGTAATTAACAAAGCTGGGAATAAATACCAACTCGGTCAACAATCCATCAACCCAATTGATTGAACCGTTCACCCATCAGAGACTATTTCAATGGGCTACCAGTTTTGTGTCATTTTAATTATTTATAATGATGCATATGGACTGGATGCAACTGAATCATGTTTGTGTATGAGACTTAACCGTCTTTGTCATTACAAGTAGAGATATAACAGAACAAATTTTCATTTAATCATGATATCCTTCTCTCCATTTGATTTGAGTAATACATTCTAATTACTTGAGGACTTAAAAACCATGTAGATCCAAGGAGGTTCAGGCTCACTCATCAAACATCATTTGGCAAACGACATCTCAAGTACTGGAGTGAGCACCGTTTGCTTCGTTGGCCTGTAAGTTCTGCAGAAGTGATACCATCTCTTGCTGCTTGTATTTGTTAGATCTTTTAATCGAAAGAATCTTGTACTAAAATTGTGATCTTGTGTAGGCCTGTTTTATTCGGCAGTTCTATGCGTCTGTTTCTAAAATCGATTATTTCACTCTTCGCCATGGATTCATTATGGTAACTCCATTAATAGTTTTCACAAACACGAGACTTTCATCCAACTGGTTTTGATTTTAATAAGTGAAACTTCTGGTTGTCCATTTCTCTAGGCCCATTTTTCAGAAGGCAGTGAATTCGACTTCCAAAAGTTTCTGAGAAGAGCTGTGGATGAAGATTTCCAAGTGGTGGTTGGAATAAGGTAATTGTCTATGAGAAAATAAAATTACATTATTGCAAAAGATAAAAAGATTATCGCATTATTATACTCTCTATAACCCATTTATTGATTATTCATTATTGGGTAACTCTTTTTTCTTCTTTTGCAGCTTCTGGATGTGGATATTCTCCATGTTCTTTATATTTTTCAATGCATATGGTAACACCAATCTCCTTAGGCTGTGTTTCGTTTCATTTCCTCTCTTATTTTCTTTCAAACCAAACACAGCCTTAGTGTTCTACAAATAGCATGCATTCTGATTAATAAGCTATTCAAAACTAACCTTCCTTTCTTTCTTATGTATGTATCTGCAGGATTTTACAACTATTTCTGGTTGCTCTTTATTCCTTTAGTAGTAAGAACCTCAGTTCTAATATACATACATACATACATATATATATATATATATATATATATATATATATATATATGTTACTGAAGGATTGTATCTCTTCTGTTACAGATGCTTCTGATAGTGGGGACGAAGCTGCAAGATATCATAACCAAAATGTGTTTGGATAGCCATGGTGAAACTCCTGTTGTTAGAGGAACTTTCATTGTGAAGCCTAGTGATAACTTCTTCTGGTTCAAGCGACCCCAATTGCTTCTCCACCTTATCCAGTTCGTCCTATTTCAGGTAGAACTGTAACTTATAATAAATATCTGATGTCTTAATTTATTTCATGGAGTTTCAATTCATCTTTGCTGAAACAAATCCCTGTAATATTCCTTGGGTCTGCAGAATTCCTTTCAGCTGGCATTCTTCACATGGACATGGGTAGGTATATTATAAATTGATACTGGTATGATCATTTTTCTATTTTAGTAGAATTGAGTAGCTAAATTTTTGTCTGAAATGCAGTACAAGTTTGGGCTGAGATCATGCTTCCATAGAACAAAGGAAGACATTATTATAAGGATCGCCATGGGTGTTCTAGTGCAAGTCCTTTGTGGCTATGTAACACTTCCTCTGTATGCTTTAGTAACACAGGTAGAACTAATGAGCAGTACTCGGATTAAGTTAAATCCCAACTTCTAATTACATCATGTAATCAAGTTACCTCTTTGCATTTGCATATTAGATGGGGTCATCAATGAAGAAGGCCGTCTTCACAGAGCGGGTCATTGAAGGTTTAAAGAAATGGCACAGGAATGCCAAGCGGAGCATAGCTACCAGCAAAACCAATTCCGTCGGTCCTTCGCCATCGCTGGATCCTTCGCCTCCTCAAACACTTGATGAAACTTCAGTATCTAATGGACAAGAGTTTGAAACGGTGGAACTTTATCATCCATCAACTGAGGTTGGATGTCTAAGTATTGAAATAAAGGAGGAAGAGAAGGCAGAAACTGATGAGATATACAAACAAAGAAGCTACAATGGTGAGCTCTCTTTTGGGAGGTAAAATGAGCAAAATTTGTTGCCAGCTGAAACAGCATGGGGAGGCTTGGGCTTGGCTTGGAATTCAAAATGTGGACTGCACGCTGGAAGCTAATTGAAAAGAAGATTATGAATGAATGGGCCCGGTTTCATGACACAATTTTTCATTCTGGGTTGTTATCCTTGACAAAAAAAACATGCATTTTTCCAAAATTAGAGATACTACTTGGATAAATTTCCAGCATGTGATTTGTCAGATGCATCATTATTATTAACACAAAATAATTATTATAATTGTGTTTCTTTCTATGAAAATGCTTGAAAGTTGAAATCTTGGCAAATTTTAGAAATTCCAGGCCAATCCAAAACCATGATTTAATTGGATGCCACATGAAATGCATTGTGTGTTGAAATTTATTCATTTAATATGGAATTCTCTCTGGTTGTAAAGGGGAAAAAGGGTTATAAGTTCATTTCTATCTACTTCTACAACCAGAAAATATTCTGGCTGCATGCCCCTTAGATGGTAAAAAGCCGCAGTGATTGACAAAAATGACAAAAGGAATATTTATTGTCATATGGTACAGAAAATGTTGTCTGGTAACGTTTTAATTCACTTCAACGTGTTTAGTTCACTAGTAAGCGGCGGCATCCCAAGACACGGGTTGCTTTGGTTTTCCAGGTATTTAGAAAACAAAAACCCAATTTTCCTTTTGTTAAGCTGTGTTTCTCTCTCTCTCTCTTGTTCATGGATAGGAACGGAGGTCTTCCATTCCATATATGCATATATTTTATAAAAATTAAACTGGGCTGGTTTTAACTTGCTGGCATTTGTTGATGTGGGAAAACGACTTCTTGAGGTTTTTACTTTCAAAAAACAATATTGTTTTACTTTTGAAAAGACTAGAGAAGAGTCCAACCTATCTATCACCTATGACCTATCTTGCAGGTGAAGGTGATTTGAATTTTTTTCTTATTTACCAAAACAAAGGACCTTTATTCCATGGTTGTCCTTAGAAAATCTGAAAATTAATGACCCAACAGCCTTCTCGAAATCACCTTTTTCAATCATGCATTAAACACTTTTAGAGAATAAAATCTTAGGACCTCACCTAACAGTTTAAACTTTTAAATTCAATGGTTTTTTAGGAAATACCCACCAATAATCAGGCGACGTGGTTTAAATTAACAAGCGGAAACAGTGAAATTTTTAGTTTCATGCTTTGATGCATGGTTTCAAAACCGGACCGGACCGGACCGGAAAACTGGGAACTTGTCAGGTGGCCGGTTCCGTTTTTTCTTAAAATCAGGATTTCTCAAAAAACCGTTGATTTTAATCAGCAAATTGCTGATCCGGGTGGTTAATCATTTGAACGGTTTTGATCATTTTTTATTTTTATAAATACTTTTTATTTTTTTGTCAGAACGAGCCGATCATTCAATTCGAACGGTCGGACAATTCAACCCGGTAACCGAATCCCTGACCGATTCGGTCTCCAAGTCGGTTTTAAAAACTATGCTTTGATGAATCGTCTTCAAATCAAAGTCAATGTTTTCGACCCATTCTCAGAGAACCCAAGATAAAAGCAATGGCAACGAACCAACCACGCCAACATCCACCAATACACTACACGTTTAGCTAACCAGATGAAAGATTATTAACGTTGTAAGACTTTGGGTGAGTGCATCTTTTAGTTAATCTGTGGCCGAAGATGTTTGGTCTGCGACGTTTTTGATAGACATTCTAGGTTTTTGACTTTGAGATTTGAAGCTCTTGAATTAAATGAGTAAATGACCTTTTGAAATTGCTATGAGAGATCTTTTGCCCAATTGCTATCAAACAGAAGTTATATCTCAATGATGGTTCTTCAAAATTTTCCGATTTGTCAAAATGTATGTATAAACACATGCATGGGTGATGGGACAGGCATTGATCATCACTGCCATGTGATAATGGTGCAATGAACAGTGTTTACTTGGTTTGATGTGTAAAATGTTCAACTAATGTTTAATGTTATTATATTATCTGACGGAAACAAACAGATGTGGATTTTCAAATGTTTGTCTCCAATTTACATGCATCGTTATAGCATCAACAAGATGAACAATGAAATTAAGCATCTATTCTTAGTGATTGAGAGAGAGAAAAAGAAAGAGATTTTAACAAACAGGGCTTTATTACTTTTGATTCATACAACGATAAAAGCCATTGTGTGAAAATCCTTACAAACGGACACTCAGTTTTACGTTGATAAATTTTGTATTCTCGTCAAATGGTTTTTCGTTACGATGAATACAAACACAAATTCCATGGTTGGAGTTGATGGTTTTTACATTGATCAACTTTTATATATCTTGAAAGTTGTGATAGCTGCCATTTTCAATGGACAAATGTAATCTTATCAAATGCTTGCAAACGGAGCATGTATCAAACTGGTATTTATATAACAAATAAACATAGCTTAACTAGAAAAAAACCCTATGGTTAATAATTATGCATCTTTAAAAAGCACAAATGGCCTCGAATATTTCTGTATTTTTTTTAGGACAAAAATTATTATTTTACATTTAAATTTATTGATAAAAAGTGAGGGCAAATAACGTAATCGGTTATTAATATTAAATGAGTTGAAAAGAGGTAATTTTAATGATATTCAATGCATTCAATTCCCTCTCAATAAATCCAATATTTAATTTATTAACTTACATTCATGTTAAATGAATCTTATATTTAAGTTATTTTTGTTTCTTTTCATCATTAAGTTCTATTAATTAAATCCATACTTAATAAATTAATAATTCCAATAACATAAGAGCATATACTTTCAAAATCTACCTAGAAAAAATAGAGTTTTCATCTAGGTGGTGGTAAGAAATTAAACCATTTTGGGTCAAATGGATTAATCCATGTTACCACGATTAAATAATAAAATTCAAAAATACAAATTAAAAAATTTGGAAACATTTTTAACATACATATTAAAAAATAATAAGTATGATAAATGAGAAATGTTTTTATTAATGATTTAAATTGAATGTAAAACTTAAAACCAATTGGAAATAAAAAAATTTTCCTATTCTCTCTTACTAAATGCTATATTTAAGATATATTTTTCTCATCATTAAATTCTTGTAATTAAATCCACAATATTAATTTTAATAGTATAAAAATAAATATTTTGAAAAGTAATTTGAAAACAAAACCATTTTCTTCCCTTCCAGTGGTGGGCAAGCAATTCAATCATTTGGGGTCAAATGGACTAATAAATAATTCCATAATTAAATAATAAAAATTTTAAAATAAATAAGTATGAAATGTAATAAGTATTTTTATTAATGACAAAAATGGAATGTCAAATTTAAAATCTACCTAGAAATGGAATGATGTCATAGTTAAATAATAAAACTTTTAAAAATAGAAAATATAAAGAATCACAAAAATAAAAAAATAGAGAAAATTTTGGGCACATATCTAATGTTATATATTTATAAAAAATAAAATATTGGGTACATCTCTAATATTATGCATTCATTATATTGAACGTAAATAAGTATTATACATAAGAAAAAAAATCAATGATGGAAATGTAATACAAAATTTAATATCAACCTAGAAATCAAACTATTTTTCTTTTTGGGTGGTGAGTTAGTGGTTTGGGTCAAATGATATCATAGAAAAATTATTTATATAATGTAAATAAAATATATAATTTAAAGGGAAAATTATAGTCAAAACCGATTATACATTTAAAATTAGGTTTTAGGTTGGTCCAAAAATCAACAAAGCTCTAACAACCAGCTTTACATTTCAAATTATAAAAGCCCTTGCTATGTCATCAAAGGCTTTTGTGGCTATTGACAACATAGGACTCTTAATCCATGTTGGACACAAAATAAAACCCTATACTGAAAATAGGTTTTCAGTTTCTCTCCCACTCCCTCTATCTCTCGACCTCCCTCCCTCCTCTCTCACTCTCGCAATCATCTCTTAATCTCCCACTCTCTCAGCTTTGGTATGTAGCCAAATCAAAACCTCTCTCTCTCTCTCTCTCTCTCTCTCATTCTTCTTCCTCACTCTTCCTCTCTCGGTTAATATCTCCTTCTCCCTTAATCTCTATTGTTCTCCCTCAGTCTTTCTCCCGCTATCTCTCTCATTTTTTTGTTTTTCTTACAAGCATCTATAATATTAATCATACCGTATAAAAAAACTAGAGGGACCAACCACTTGTACAATCAAGTTATAAATTTCTATCAAGTTGGTGTAAATTTTATAGCCAAGAGTTTCTTGTGAATTTTTATCAAATTGGTGTAATGATTTTTGAACTACACCAAGTTAGTCTCATGTTCTTTTATATGGTTTGATTAATACTATATAAGTGTGTAAGAAAATAAAAAAAAAAAAAGAACAATAGAAGTGTGAGAGAAACTAAGGGAGAACAATAGATTGAGAGGGATTGAGGGAAAATGATAGGTAGAGAGAAAATGAGAGAAATTGATAGAGAGAACATATATACAGAAACCGAAAATCATTTTTTATTTATTTTCAAATCACATAGTCATTGAGCAAAGAGAGATGACTGAGAGAGAGAGAGAGAGAGGATCTAGAGAAACTAAAAACCATTTTCTTATTTTCCAATCACCCAACATTAAAGGGCAATTTCAGTATAAGCTTTTTGTTGTGTCCAACATGGATTAAGAGTCCCATGTTGGCAATAACCACATAAGCCTCTGATGACATGGCGGGGGTTTTATAATTCAAAATGTAGAGCTAGTTGTTAGAGTTTTGTTGATTTCTAGACTAACCTGTAGTCTAATTTTAAATGTACAACCGGTTTTGATTATAATTTTCCCTAATTTAAAATTAATCCGAAAGCAAAGTTATTTTCTTATCTAGATGGTGAGTCAATGATCCAACTTTTCTAAGAAACCCATGATGTCATAATTGAATAATAAATATTTAAAAAATATATAAAACAGCAAAAATGAAAACGTACAAAATTTTGTGAAAAACATTTGAGAACATTTCAAATGTTATATATTCATCATATTAAATGACAATAATTGTTAAAATAAAAATTATTTTTATTTATGATAGAAATGGAACACAAAATTTAATAATAATAATAAGAAGAAGAAGAAGAAGAAGAAGAAGAATTGTTATTTGGTACAAAAATTTAAGTTTATTTATTTTTAATCATATTGTTACTTTTGTTAATTTTAAATTTCTATCTTAACTATGATATATCTAAAATTCAAGTAATTAATATGAAGAACAATTTATCACATGCAACGCATGTGCTTAATTACTAGTCTATCTATCTATCTAT